ACACAAAATGGGTACATATTATTGGAATCTCTATTAAATATCTGATAATTTGATAAACATATGTCCAATAGGCTTTTTTGACCGTCAAATGACATTTTTATAACTTATTTTTATTGATAGTCCACAACCGCTGGACCTGCCTTCCCAAAAATTTAATCAATTTTTCATCTTGCCAGTACAAGTAAAATGTTTCTTGAATTATTAAAATCGGACGCTCCGTTCTCTTAAAAACTGAGTTACCGTTTTCGGCACTTTTTGCCCCGTATCTTCGGAACGGCTGGACCTGCCTTCGCCAAAAACTAGTCAGCACGTCTCCTTATCAATACCAATCGAATGTTTTTTGAATTATTCAAATCGGTTGATCGGTGTTCCCGAAATCGTTGACGAAAATTTGTATCCGCAAACACACACATATACACACACGCATCCATTTTTTCTAAGGTATGCCAAAATATTCAAAAACCTTTGAAACGTAAAGATATATAAAAATTTTCATTTTCGATTCTTTTGCGATTACTATAACCTACCCTATGGGAAGTTAAAAATTGCTAAAAACAACATGCCATTGTTTAACATTGAAAATATTTTGAGACATTGAAAACAAATGAAAACTGTCATCTGCCAAAAATTTCAATTTACTTATGAACCTAGACAATATTAGAATATTTAGGATATTAAAAAATTGTAGATGTGCGTACAGGACGATGTCTGTCGAGTCATATAGTATATATATATATATATATATATATATATATATATATATAATTTCTACTTACATACTCTGGGCCTTCATGTGTCGAAACAAAGTCATTCTGTCTCTGCTCCGAGCCAAATTCAAAGAACCACACTTTTTCCAACCAGTCGCTAGACCTTTGTTATCCAAATCCTTCAACAAACCCAAAGAACTTTGTGCCAATTTAACTTGAGACAAAGTTGGTTTAAATTCTCCTACTAAACCAGACGTGTGCCAGGTAGAACCACCACCAACTCTAAAAAAAAAAAATAATTAAAAATAAGTATTAATACATAATACTGAATATTTTTTAAGTAACACTGTATCAATTACTACCTTCCTTGTTCTAGTAGAACAGTATGAGGGCCCCATCCCATTTGTGCTAAATGATAAGCGACAGAAGCCCCCATGACGCCTCCTCCACATATGACAACTCTGGATTTCTTCGGTGGCAATCCATTTTCTTCTGTATTCAATTGACCGTTTGCAAAATTTCTACAATGCACCAAATTCAAACGAGCACTACATCGTTTTAGTAAAAGACTTTGTAAAGGCATTTTGGTAAATTGAAATGGTTCAAAAGTTCGTAATCATTGTTGTGGGGTAATGGACTCACGAGATAATATTAATACTCACGAGGTAATATTAACTGAAAAAACATATACTTGTTGCATATATTCGTTGTACTAAATGTAAATAAACAATTTATATTAGCTTTCTGAGCCTTTTTGGCATGTTGCAAATAATTTTTACTAAATCAGTTTATCGTGGAAGCTGTTATTGTTTCACAAATTGAAGTTTTAAGTTTTACGAAGAAACTCGAAGGGCTAAGATGTATTAGATATACAATTCACAATTATCAAAAATAACAAAACAACCAATATATAAAATGGTACAGCTTTTAAGAAACTTAGATCTCTATTTACTCTCTTTAACTCTATTTAAATAATAAAATTATAAAATCTTACAGAAGATGTTAGGTTTCTTCCTATTGTACTAAAATGGTGATTATTGAGTGAATATTTAGAAACCCATTAAGTTTATTATTATTATTATACATATATTATTTATATAACACCATTTTATACTTCAATTAAATAATTTGATATACTTTAAGTATTTGTATACACTTTTGTCATCTATGTGGATGTGATGATACCTTACACAATAAATTAATGAATTGCACACATATATATCACTGATTACATCTTGAATATTGTTATTTATATTGAAATCATTTAAATTTATAATTATCAAGTAAATTTATATACTTTTTTGCATAATATTTTGTTTATTTCTGCACAATTTAATTTGCAGGTTATGTGACACCTGACATGTCAAAACATGGCGACTCTGGCGCCATCTTGCGTGTCAAAATTTAACTGAACATTTTTTTTATTTATTAATTTAATATTTTTTTATAAATAAATGTAATATTTTTGTTATTAAATTCTATTTTACACAAAGCTAATAATGAAATTTATATATTTACATAATTTGTTGATAAATATTGGGTTTAAGTTTTATTTGTTTATTTTTTACACAAATCTGTATTTGAATTTAAATTTTTAACGATTTTTAACGTTTAACGAATTGTAGATTGTTTTTTATTATATTATTTATAATTTAATTTTGTATATTTATATATAATTATAAGTACAAATTATATGTAAATGATTTATATAAGTATTAAAATTAAATTATTGTATGTAATATTATTTATTGTTATATTGTTAACAAAATTAACAATATTGTTCCATTGCATTACAAATAATAATAACAATAATAATAAACATTATTATTTTTATTATTATCATGTCAAGTTCTGCGAAGAAAACTATCTTAAAAATTTGCAATATTATTAATAAATACAAATAAATATTTTTTATATTCTGTATAAATAGTACATAAAATGAGTTTTTATAGATAAGTGTGAGAGCATAGATAAGGAATGTGTAAAAGCTTTCTTTTTAAATTATAATTATTGTAAAAATGTAATAGTTAATAATAATACATTTATTATTAACTAAAATACAATAAATTGTTTATACATATTAATAAATATGTAAATAATAATAAATAGATTTATATTCAAATATGATTCAAGTGTTTAATTCGAAGAATTTTGATATGGTGTGGATCTGAGCTGAAAACTGTTTTGATCCTTATGTAAGGTTTTGACCATAGATAAATAGTTTAATTTAATAATAATGATAAGCATAATTGACATAAAAATCATAATTTTAAAATACAGTTTGTTAATTTTATTTTGTTTATTAATTTAATTATTAAAATTTTGGCGATTTAATTTATAATTGTATATCAATAATTATCGCAAATGCAAATTTATAGTTATAATAATAAAATTATAAATAAAAAATATTCATTTAATTATAATTTATAAATAAAATATCATAAAGATTAAAAATAAACTTTGTCTTATATTAAATAATATTGTTCAATTCAATTCAAAATATACTAATAGTCCAGTCATTTAAGCTTAAATTAGGTAAGAATCTTGGAATTCGAGATTCCCAGCTGTATGTCTGAAAATACTTGTATATTGACACCCTAAAGTTGTCTAAAAAGCTACATATGGTAGAGTGTCAATACCGTCAATAGCTTATGTAGATTTTGAGACAACTTTAGGGCGTCAATATACAAGAATTTACAGACTTACATTTACAGACAGATGGGTATCTCGAATTCCCAGGTGAACTTACTATAATGACTGGACTACTATGTCTATTTTATGAACAATATTTATCCTGTAAATTTGCAATATTATTAATGTACATAAATAAATATTATATATATTAAATAAATGAATAAAACACAAAAAGCAAATTGATTAAAATTTATTTTATAAATGAGTGTAAGAATTTAAGGACCTCTAATTTAAAATTTTTGTAAAAAGATATTAATATTTTAATAATAATACATTTATAAATATTCTTAAATAAATACTAATCAATAACAATTATTTTTTTTAATCCTTGTTAATAAATAAAGTAAATTATAATTACTAGTTTAAGATATAAGGAAAAACACAACATATTGTGACAATGAATATTGCTAATATAATTTCTTAAATTAATATATGATCACATGATCATTATTTTATTAAAAACACATAATATGTATCTTTTGGCTATAATCAATATTTATTTTACAAAATCTCAATAAACTTTTTAAAATAACTCAAGGAGTTTTAATATGGTTTAGGTCTGAGCTAAAAAAGGTTTTGACACAGGTTGATATAAAAATGAAGCATGATAATTTTATTTTGTTTATTAATTTAACTGTTAATATTTTTCAATTTAATCATAATAAAACATGAAATATGAGTAATTAAAATATTATAAATTATATAGTTAAATAAATCTTATCTAGAATTAAACCTATGGGTAAATTTACGTGCTAAATTCGTCGCGCCTCTATGAATAGCGAAAATAAATAAAATTAAAGTTACATTCCTTTCATAGAAAAGATAAGTCTAATAAATTTGAAAAAATATAATGAGAACAATAAGTACGTGTAAAAAATAGATTTTCAACTAAATAACAAATATGTTCTCACAAAAATTATATAATAAAAAATTTTGAACGTTTAAGGTACGTGTAGTATAATAAAATAATCAGTTCTTTACAAAGAGTGATAAATTTGGAGTCCCTCTATTGAGGGCACAAAACACTAAGAGAGTGTAAAGCACTTTTATTGTGTTACATGTGTTTAGCACCCGTGATTTGAAATAATATGCTTAATCAATGAACAGAATGAAATTTTGATGCAACATTTTGAAATTATGTGTCAAAACCTTTTTTTAGCTCAGATCCAAACCATATCATATTTTGTAATATTTTTCAAGATTTTGTAAAATAAATATATATTTGCCAAAAACATATTATACTTTGCATTTATTTAGTTTGCAATATTAACCCTTTCGACTCGAATGCTGCCGCTTCAGCTGCAGCAAAATTCGGAATGCTATCAATTTTATAATAATTAATCGTATGAATGTATAAATATTCGTTTTTATTTATTATCAAAAATTCTTAAAGACATACGACATCCCATAAAGATGAAAAAATAATTGTTATAAAAAAGAGCTTTTCAAAAAATAATAGTTGTCCAGAAGAACTTCCTTTTCTGGTCCTAAGGGCCTCAGCTTGTTCACCAGAGACTTTTGACCGCGCTCGTAAAAATAGCTAATCCTTAGGCTATTTTTAAACGGTGCTAGGTGTCTGGCCGACACACGACCAGTAGTGGACCTGTAGTGTTGTGCGACGGTAACGGGCGACTGGAGACGGAGAAAAATATTATTAGAAATTTGTAATTAAATAATAAAAAGGACAAGTGAGTAGAAAAAAAATATATATATATATATATATATATATATATATATTGTCATATTATTTTCCATTAACCCACATAAAATTTTTACATAATACTCAACAAGTGCAAAATAATAAGTCTATTTTCGAATAAGCTTGCCATTTTATATTACTATTGTCTTAAAATAAGATAAGATAAGTTTGAGTAAGATTTGTTAATTGTGAAGGTATCTTATGAAGTAAATAGAGAAGACAACATAACCTCAACACCTTAATCGACTTCTTTCGTATCTGACTGTAAAACCATAGAGTAAAAAGACATGTAACACCATCTGTAGTGATACCCTATTTTATTACCTTATTTAAACATACGTTTTTATTTTCTTAATTTTGTAATATAGCTTATAACTGTATCTTGATTGTTATTTGACGAAATAAAAAAAAATCTTACTATAAGGGAAAGTATCATGCTTATTCCATAGATAAGCAAGTATAAATAGATCGCAAACAAGGCCGCTTTGACATCACCTTAATTTTAATTCTTTTCGCAAATCGCAGAGACGCCACCAACTATAGCATGTAAATCTACCCTTATTTATGTGAAAATTGCAAGACAACATAACCTCAACACCTCAATGCACTTCTTTCTTATTTTATTGCAAAACTGTAAAATCTCTCTGCAGTGATATCTTTTTTTCACTTTCTTTAGAATAAGTTATAGTAATAGTAAAAAATCGAAAATTATTTTTTTGGATATCTTTACGTTTCAAGACCTTTGAACATTTTGGAATAGCTTAGTAAAAATTGATGTATGTGAGTGTGTGCGTATGTGTTTTTTATGGATACAATTTTTTATCCACAATTTCGAGAGTAGGGATCAACCGATTTGAATGATTCAAAAAACATTAATATTGACTACTGCTGTGCTTATTTATATAATAAATAAACCAATAACAATAAGTATAACATGTTTACATAATAAAATATATATTTAAATAAATATATAATAATTCCTCAATTGAGGTAAAAATTTAAAAATATTAGTTTATTTTAGTAGTAAATTACAATATATATAAATGAATCATTTACAAATTTTTCTGTAAAATCGTTACTTAAAATAGATTTCCATAACAAAATACTTCAATTTCTGATTTTGTGAAAATTCAATAATATTTTATTTAAGACTCTATAATAAAATAAATGAAGTTCTAATAATAGTATTATTGGTGTACGTGCCAAAAACACAAATTTTATAGTAAAACATCCGTAATGACGAGAATTGTTTTCTTTTAACATTTCGAACAGGATGAAGGAAATGATTACGTATTGTTTTTATTACTCTACTTATTTGGTCAGAAAATAATAGATATAAATAATGATAGACTTATGTGTCTTAAAATATTTATAAAATTGCCAAGATTAATAACAACATCTATTTATATTACAATACAATAAAGTTTAAGATTTAATAATTCACATTCAAAAATTAACGCAAATAAAATGGCAGTTAAATTAAAATTGCGTCCTGTTAATTGACATAAAACGTTTGAACTAATAATATTTATTTATTTAAAAATGTTTGTGATTATATTTATGATATTTATGATGTGAAATGTAATAAAATCTTATTATATTGAATTATTTAAAATATGGAACAATAAATTTAAATTTTCAATATTTCACATTCAAATATTAACGGAAAATAAAATGGCAGTTGAATTAAAATGGCGTCCTGTTTATTGACAAAAAACGTTTGAACTAATATTATTTATTTATCAATAAATATATGTGATTATATTTATAAATAAATGTAACAAAATCTTATTATATCGAATTATTTAAAACACCAAACAATAAATTTAAAGTATGAATAATTTATATTCAAATATTAACGGAAAATAAAGTGACAGTAAAATCAAAATGGCATCCTGCGAATTAACGAAAGACGATGGAAAGACGTTAGAACTAATAATATTTATTTTTTTATAAATATATGTGATTATATTCATAAATAAATGGAATAATATCTTAATATACTGAATTATTTAAAATATCGAACAATAAATTTAAAGTATGAATAATTTATATTCAAATATTAACGGAAAATAAAATGTCAGTTGAATTAAAATGGCGTCCTGGGAATTAACGGAAAGCGTTAGAACCATGGCCGGTAATCTCGGAACAAACGTCTGTAACCCGAGTTTAGTTAGAGCCCCTGCCGCCGGTCGCGCTTGTTTTTTTTTTTTTTTTTTTTCACTTTGAAATCGAATTTGACATATGACAGATACTTAAATTAAACATGGCGTCCATTGTAATAAATTTTTCATGGAGAGATAACCTAGACAATATAATAAATGCTTGTTAGAGTAAAAAACAAATAAGCTGTCGAAGTGCATTGTTTAACGAAGAAGAAATACCAAGAAAAATGCATGTATTATGTAGTTCCAGCGAGAAACGACGAAGTAAAAGTAAAATAAGTAATAATATTTGCCGGCTTTCAATCTAAGTGAGTACTTTTATTAATATGCATACTTCGAATTACTTTCATTTGATTGTACTATTCTGATATGATTTTTCATTACAGTTTAATAATTCAGAAATAATTGAGACATTTAACTATATCAATACTAGAAATTTTAAGGTTATAAATAGACAGAGAGAATTCCTGTCAGCTCTCTGAAAGGTATGTTATTAAATAACTAAATATAAATTAATCTTGTTCTAATAATGTAGGATCATAACTAATAATTCTACATCGATTTTTTCAGCAGTATAAAAGGAAAATACGTTCAAATGTAAAATGTTTAGACGGTTTACTAAACACATTCACAAGTGTACAAGTATTGATATGAGATGAATGAATACACAGGAAAAAACAATAAGAATGAAGTCTGAAATGTGCTGAAATCTTTGCTGATCTCCCACTAATATTGAACAGTACGACTCGTAATTATATATTAAGTCAGTTTGGAGAACATACTAAAAACACTAATGATATAATCGTAAGTGAAAGGAAATTCTCAATTAATGGTGAAATTCTAGCTAGTGCAAAGGTTAATTTAGGTTTGGCTATGTCACAGGAAAAGTTTTTAAGTATTAATAATTTCATTTTGATATTACAAGAAATATTATTATCTGTGTTGTTTAATGATGATAAAGGGAATCACATTGTATAGATTTTCAGGAACTGTCAAATGACAGGCAAAGTATAATCATGATTAATGATAAAATTCTAAAAAGCAAAGGGATAAAACACCCTTAATGTGCACTTGCTTATTGCATTTGACTATTCTGAAAGAGATGTCAATAGCTTTACTCTAAAATGTCTTATTGTAGATGCTATAAGAAAACTATTAAGTACTGTTATAATAATATCAATGATTGTTGTTTTTCTTTAAGACAATGATAATAATGACATTTTGAACAAACATTTGAATGCACATTAACAATAGCGCAGAAAAGATTCCCAAATAGAGACTGTACATCATAGATATTATGTAACTTAATGTTAATCAAAATAAATATATATGTAAATATATATATATATATATATATATATATATATATATATATATATTGGTTATATATTGATCTGAATCAATATCAAACAAAGAATTGTGGTTATATATGTATATATATAAATAATATATACATTCATGTACATTTCTATTCTTTTTGTGCTCAGCTTGAAAGGCTGATATGCTAAAATGATATTACACACACACATATATATATATATATATATATGTATATATATATATATATATATGTATATATATATATATATATATATATATATATATATATATTTGTATATACATTGTGGATAGCGTGTACATTTAAGTACATTTTTATGCTTTTCGCACATAGTTTTTACAGCTTACTACCATCTATTATAATCATATATAATGTTATATATATATATATATATATATATATATATATATACATTGTGGATAATGTGTATATTTATGTACATTTTTATGCTATGTGTGCTTTGTTTATAAAGAGAACTATGTAGATATAATGTAGAATGTTTTTGTGAAAAATAAATGCTTCAAAATTTTTTTTTTTTTCAATTTTTCTTTTTTTAAATTTTGAATTAAAACGGTCCATATAATTTTGGTTCATTTCTATAGTATTTTTTATACGCACCCGTTCAGGCGACTAGTGCCATCTGTAGCGCGGGGCTTCAACTAACACAGGAATGTGGCAACGAAATATGGCCCGAGAGAGCGATCTATATACTCTTCTTTTATCTATGGTTAGAACTAATATATATTATTTATATATTTTTAAATATATGTGATTATATATATATAAATAAATGAAACAATATCTTATTATATTGAATTAGTTAAAATATCGAATGATAATATTAAAGTTCAAATAATTTATATTAAAATATTAACGAAAAATAAAATGACAGTGAAATTAAAATGGCGTTCTGTGAATTAATAGAAGACGTTAGAAATAATATTATTTATATATTTATGAATATAGAAGTGATTATATTCATTAATATATGAGTTCGTAATAAATATATAAATTTAAATTTTAAATTTAAACGTAAGTGACGTCAATAAATGCGACATGTAGTTTTGCACATAAGTAATGCTTTTCTTATTTTATTTATATTATATGTCAGGTAAAATTAGTTTTAATTAAAAAAAACTAAATACCTTATTGAAACCACGAAAACATTGTACTTTAAACATAAAATAACCAAATTTAAAGTTTCAATATTTTATACATTCAAAAGTTAAAGTAAAACAAAATTAAATATTAAAATGGCGTCCGTTAAATTAACAGTTACTTTATTAAATAAAGTAAATTAAAATGGCGTCCGTTAAATTAACAGTTAACAGGTGAAAATTTATAATTATATATATAAATAGGAGTGTATATATATATATATATATATATATATATATTCATATTTATATTTATATTTAAAATCTGTTCATAAACAAAGTCTACGATTGCACATCTGACATTGAAATCTAATTTTAACAAAAATAATCATCCCATCATCTTCATCATTATGTTATTTATATGCAACTCTGAGAGATTCGATTTCTTCTCCTCGACCTATTTTTAATCTATTGAATTTATTTATCGACTATTTTTATAGACATAACATATGGGTCATAAAAAGTAAACGAATTATTTAAAACTGGTGAAAAGACTCCCAGTGCAATAAAAAAAATATAAATCCGTACGTCAATCGAAAGTTCTGTATTGTTTTTAGCCATAAAAATCTTTACATAAAGTCTTATGTAAACTGTTGAAACTTAAAAAATGATTTTAAAAAATCAAAATGTTTAATTAGTGCTTTCGCTCCTGTACAGCGCTGCAGTCGCTTTAACAAAACTTCTATATACTAAGACTTCTTTTTATAGTAAGGCGTCAGCATTATTTTAGTAGACAATAAGTCTTACAACTATCCTAAAAAATAGAAAATAAATCTTTAGGAATTTTGAAAAAAAAGACTTTTTAAAGAAAAATGTATTTTGAAATATTTTGGAAATTCTGAACTTTTTTTCAAAGCAATCGTACTGCTTTAACTGCATAGAGTCAAAATATCGAAGCGCGTAAGCGCCGCGCCACCGTCTAACGGATAAGCTTTGGTACGTAACCCATAGGAATGTAAACAAAATTTATACTTATTGTTAAAATCTCTATAAAATATCTGATAATTTGATGTAGATATGTCTAATGATCATTTTTGACCGCCAGATAGCATTTTTTTTTTACTTTTTTCACTAGATCTCCGAAACCGCTAGACCTGCCTTCATGAAAATTTGAACAGTTCTTCACCTTGTTAATACAATTTAATTATTTGATATAAAGTTTCAGATGAATTAGTGAGCTAAAATTCTGCCAAAGACTAAATTAAGTTATAATTTGCAAGCAAGTGTGTTGCACGAAATCTAAATTTTATTTATCAAAAATCTATGAATGATATTTGAATCAAATAACGCTGAAATGCAGCTTTATCTCGCTTGCGGCGCTGCGGTCGTCTTAGCAAAGTTATAAACCTCAATGATGACCGCCTTGAAGTTGTTTATATTATTTATTATTATTATATCGTTAAATTAATTTTATTATAAATTACACATATCGAATAATTAAATTTATTATAAAATGGGTGTGGTTTTCATTACTCAAATATAACTTAGAATTTTAGTTAAATAATTCGCTTCACATTATTCTCGATTATTTCCATCGATTAGATCAACAAATTTTCAAGCTTCAAATTTCTTAATAAGTTTTAATAATATGATGATGATGTAATTTATAGAAGCTAATTTTATAATTTGGATTATTAATTATTTTTAAAGGATGTCTCGTCGTCTGCCAAGACGCACGCGCGTTTACGACTGCAATTACGACAAAGGCGAAAGTTACTACAGGCCAGCACTCGACAGGCTGGACAAGAAATTCACCGGCAGACTGGACAAGGTAATAATAAAATAATCTCAAAAAATAGTAAAAATCTTATTGAAAAATCAATTTAGAAGTCATAAATATAAAGCACAAGTATCATCAGTATTGTGTGATATGACCTGATATGTGTTTCAAGTAACATCTATCATCAGCATTGTGTGATGTGACCTTTATGTTTGGGCAATATTCATTTCCCCCCTAGCCTTTTGAAGAACGCGCCTCATCCCTCACCAATGCTGCCGATGACGTTTTTAAACGTCGCCCTGCCGCTTTCGATGACATGGACTTCCCTAGCCGCCGATCTGGCAACACCGCCAGGGAAGCATTCGACGAAGCTGTCGATAAGGCTTTCGACTACAAAGGCGGTTTGGTGTCCAGAGGACTCCGCAGACCATTGAGTGTCTCTTTCGATACTGACCCAGATTTCGCTGACGAGGTAAGAGGAATAGATATATGGTGAAGGGTAAAAGAAACTAGTGGTGTATGGATGAGAGAGATCTCTTGCATTGTGGTCAAATGCATTTGTTTTGTTGAAAATCTTTATACATCCTAGCAAGATGCTTAAATTTGTCCTTGACATGAAAGTTCCAAATAAGATCCAGACTTACATTAAACAATTATCAGCTTCTTTTGTATTATTCGAAGAGGATGCAACATTTCACTCTCATCCTAAAGACTATTTACTTAGTTTTGATTTTAAATTCAAAGTAATTTGCATGTTGGTACACAACCCTAAGCATTGTCATCAGATGGTCATCTGATAAAACTGATACCTTGGTGAGCAAAAAGCCAATTATGCTGACCAAAGTTTGCAAAAGATAGTCCAAACCGAATGCACTTGCCTTGTTTCAAAGCTAGCAAAATGTATGTCTTCCAAATCATCAAAATCAGCTCACCCGTTCTCCTCGATAGTGATACAACCAGTTCCTAAATATTATCAAAAAACATCAATGATGATCATCTGATCAAAGAACTGATAATTTGGTTTGCTGATCAATGTTTGCAGAAGAGAACCTGCCTTGTTTTAAAGCTTTCCATAATAATTGTATGCGTTTCAAATCATCAAGATCAGCTCAGCCGTTCACCTCGATAGTGATACAACCAATCTCAAAATATTGTCAAAAAATACCAATAATGATCGTCTGATCAAATAACAGATAAATTGGTGAGCTGATCAATGTTTGCGGAAGAGAGTCCAAAACAAATACACCTGCCTTGTTTTAAAGTTAACACAAGTCTTTTAATACAAATTGTAGGTCTTTCAAATCATCAAAATCAACTCAGCCGTTCTCCTCGATAGTGATACAACCAATTCCTAAATATTGTCAAAAAACATCAATGATGATCAACTGACCAAAAAATAGATAACTTGGTGAACTGATCACTGTTTGCATAAGAGCGTCCAAAACAAATGCACTTACCTTGTTTTAAAGCTAACACAAGTCTTTCAATACAAATTGTATGCCTTTCAAATCATCAAAATCAGCTCAGCCGTTCTCCTCGATAGTGATACAACCAATTCCTAAATATTGTCAAAAAACATCAAAGATGATCATCTGACCAAATAACTGATAACTTGGTGAGCTGATCAATGTTTGCAGAAGAAAGTCCAAAGCAAATGCTTCTACCTTGTTTTAAAACTTACACAAGTCTTTTAATGCAAATTGTATGTCTTTGAAATCACCAAAATCAGTTCAACCGTTCTCCTCGATAGTGATACAACCAATTCCTAAATATTGTCAAAAAAACACCAATGATGATCATCTGATCAAACAACTGATAACTTGGTGAGCTGATCAATGTTTGCAGAGGAAAGTCCAAAACAAATGCACCTGCCTTGTTTTAAAGCTAACACAAGTCTTTCAATTCAAATTGTACGTCTTTCAAATCATCAAAATCAGCTCAGCCGTTCTCCTTGATAGTGATACAACCAAAATAAATTAAATAAAATGGACATAAATTTCTACAAAATGCAATTATTGATTGTTTTAAAGTGCTCCAAGAATCAGAAGGTCTGGATACTAACTACTTATTTTGAATAATCAAAATCGATTCAGTCGTTTTCCTAACAAAGCAGAAAAAAATTATAATTTGCTCCTTAACGATCAGGTGGTCTGGCTGAAAATACGTCATATATAGGGTCCGCCAAATAACTTTTTTTTTGAAGATTCTATAAAAAAAAACTACTGATTTTTTAAAATTTGAAATAATAGTTTTGGTTTGTAAGGAAAATGCAAATGGCAGCCTAACTTTTAAATGGTTGCCAAAAAATCAAAATGGATGCTAAAGATGAAAATGGCTGCAAAAGTTAGATGGCGGACACTTTACTTCAATTAGGGCTTGTTTTTATATTTATTACAATATTCAATAAAATAACAATAAAAAAAAATTAAATTCAGAAGGGATTTCTACGTTTCCAGACCTCCTGCTTGTTTCAGAGTATTTTATATACATTGTTCCTGTTTTAGAAAAACTGCTGAACCGATTTGAATGATTCAAAAGCCATTGTATTTGTATTGATAATGTGGACCCTCAGTCTAGTTCCCAGACCTCCTGATCACTTCGGAGTAATTTAAAAATCAATGATTATATTTACTACGTTACACATTTTCGTGAGAACGACTTAACCAATTTTGGTGGATCAGAGCCATTCGATTCGAATTGACATTGTAGAAACATAGCTTAGCGTCCGGACATCCCGATCAATCTGGAGTACTTAATGAAATATTTTTTTAAGTACTCTAGATTGATCAGGATGTCCGGATAGATTTTTATATGTTTATACGGAAACTAAAATCAAATAAGATATAAATACAATTTTTCTAAATTCGTGTGTGTTCTTTATCTAATGGGGCCATTTTCCCCGAATGTGCCCCAATAAGACTCCGCACCTCGAGCACCTCCGCCTCGATAGTGATATCGTGTTTAGTATCCGGCCTTCCTGATCAATCTAGAGCACTTCAAAAATATATATTTTGATATCTTTATACGGAAACTAAAACCAAATCAAATATGAATACATTTTTTCTAAACTCGTGTGTGTTCTTTATCTAATGGGAGGTCATTTTCCCGAATGTGCCCCATGAGACTCCGCACCTCGAGCACCTCCGCCACGATAGTGATATCGTGTTACAACTGAAACTACATTGAGAGCAAACATAATGTATTTTTGTTTCGATTCATTCTTGTATAGATGTCTCATCCTAAATAACTGACGCGGATTTTTTGGCAACGTACCAGAATTTGTAGAATGACGGTGGCCCCTTTGTAAAAGACAATGGAAAAAGAAATTTATGATAAACATTATAAATTTAATATACTGTAGATTGTTGATTTATGTTGGTGTTGACTCTGAAAAACCGCGGGGGCGTTTTAGCTAAGGTTTTCACCAAAGTTTATCTTGGTTCCAAACCACTGGAAAGAGAAATTTATGATAAACATTATGAATTTAATATACTTGTAGATTGTTAATTGATGTTGTTGTTGACTCTAAGAAAACTCGGGGGTGTTTTAGGTAAAGATTTGACCACAGTTTACCTTGGGTCCGAACCACTAAATTATACTTATTTCATTGTTATCACTCTTGTTGTTTTATTTATCGATCGCCCCGATCATCTATATTTATTACTTCTAATTTATATCGCTTAATTATCCTCATAGTTCTTTTATCTTAGTTTCGAACCACTTCACAATTTTTAGCTTTTATTAAGTTTATATGCAAGCACTTACTTGTATTTTTAACTTTTGTTTTATTTATCAGTTGTCCACATATATGTTCTTTTTTTTTCATTTATTAATTAACTTTAAAACTCATTTATCTTAGTTTTGAACCATTTATTATTTATGTACATTATTTTATGTACAGGTTAATTTATGTTTGAGCAAAATGCATTTGGTTTCAAAGACAATGAACCCATTTTGCCCCGAAGAACTATATTTATTACTTTCATTTTATATTTCTTAATTATTCTCAATTTTTTTTATCTCAGTTTCGAACCACTCGACAATTTTTAGCTTCTAGTAAGTTTATATCCAAACCACTTACTTGTTATCACTGTTGTTTTATTTATCAGTTATCCATATTTATGTTCTTTTTTAAATTCATTACTTAAAACCCATTTATCGTAGTTATAAACCATTTATCCATATTCATTACCATTAAAAATAATTAATTCATGTTATAGGTCAATTCATCTTTGAGCAAAATGCGTTTGGCAAAGAAAAAAATTGGTTTCGAAGACGATGAACCCGTTTTGAGGCCACGCACTCGATTTACAGACTTAGAAGGTAAAATAAAAAAATAAAAATAATATTTAGCTAAAAGCTCCTTTTACAACAATGCAGAAAGTATGATAAAATAATTAACATCCTGAAGAATAAAAAAGCAAAAAATCTTGGAGTTTCAACTAGAGGTTTTAGATTCGATCCGCAAATTGGACAAATTTGATATCAAGCAGTGGTGATTTCAGTTTTCAGTTGAAATTTTAGTTTTAAAATCTGATTTCAAGTGAGAACATCCTTTTAGGCATCGTTGCATATATGCATCATGTATAAATCTAATAGGAATCTAATCAGAAAGAGTATGGACAACCACTGGGTTGTCCTTTAAAAATATATATGCATCATGTATAACAGAATCTAATAGCAATTTAATCAGAAATAACACGGCCAACCACTAAGTTGCCCTTTAGATACAATAGTCTAAGAAATTTCACCACAACACATTTCACAAAATAAATAACCTAATTCTATTTCTCCTTACCTTTCATCAGATGGTGTCGATTCTTCGGCCACCTCCTCTTCCATGGTTGCCAGGAAGCGCGTCTTGAAGATCTCCTCCTCTGTTGAGAACTCGAGCGACGTTGCCACATCAGCTGGAGAATTGAGAAGTGGCGCCAAATGGACTGCTCTGCGCGCCTCTGATGACGAAGGTTGGAATTTAAGGCCGGTTCTGGACATGGAACGCGGATATTATAATACTTATCTTACTCCATAAGAGATAAAAGATAATTATATATATATATATATATATATATATATATATATATATAATTATAGGTTTATATCACAAAGACGCTCAATTCACAAGGGGAACCTCAGATTATTTTTATTTAGTTTGGACTTTGTATACACGTACATTAGTCATATACATTTTATAAGTTATCTTTACAATTATTTTATTTCTTTGTCAATAATATTATAAAATTGGTTGGAAGGAAGATTTTTTGCCTTACTATCTCCCTCCATAGTTCTTGTCTACTCTTTTCCCATTTTTTGTACTCCATAATGGCGTGCTTAGCATCCGCCCTAGTCGCTCCACCCAAGCGAAAGCAGTTAATTAATTTTTATAAATAAACCGCTTCTCATTGGCCTATAATATTTTAAACAATGTTGCATCAAAATCCCAGCAGAGTAAACCTGAGAATCTCTTTGTGACTTTATTTATTTTACACAAATTATTAATTATGGTTTGAAACCTTGCTATGATATGAATGATATTGGTTGAGGCAGCATGTATCCAATACAATTTCCTGTTTATATCAGAATCGTATTTAGTAACCTTTTAGAGTCCATGTGTCTGATCCATATATTCAAAATTTATTTATTTATCACTATCATTCATTATGTAACACCTAACCTCACTTCATCTCATGTATAATTTCGTCTTGAATAAATAAATATAAATAAAATGGTTTTTATTATTTATAAATCATAAAAATGTAGTAATATTATTTATTTTATTTATTCAAGGCTATGTTCATGTACCCGGTATACTTTAGAATCATATGTGAAAGTGTTTTTTTGTTAGATCATTTATAAAATGTAAAGCATTCGATTAGTATTAATGGTACAGCAAAGAAACTTTTATATGAATAAGTCACATTGGTTCCAAATTAATTAAACAATAGTTTAATTAACTAGTACTAACAACAAAAACCTTACTCGGTATGGGATCGTTCAAGTATTACATAAGCAGATTTATTACAATTATTTTCTCCCCCATCCCCCTTGTGCTTGCTCTTACCCCCTACCCCCATGCTTACGTAAACATTTTGCAATTAATGTAAAAAATAAAAATAGTACCTATGACGTAATCATCATCCAGACTCCCCTGCCCCTATGTCAACCCAAAAATAAGCAAATCAACAACCCCCCTCGCCCCCTTATAGGCTTACGTAATACTTGAACGGCCCCTATACTCTAAAATCGAATTCGAAAGTAAACGGTTATCAAACTAGTTAGATTGATTTTCTATCTTCTTTTTATATTATGTAATTTTTTTATCATAAGACATACAATACTCCATAAATCCTTTACCCCCAGGTGGCGCCGCCGCCCTTCGCGCAAAACAATCGCGGGGCCCTCCTGGCCGACATCGAAAGCGACTTGGCCCAAGCCGCCGAAAGGCAGGTGCACCGCGAGAAGCGCCTTGCGGGACTCCGAAAATGATGGCGGAGAATCGCGAAGAGGACGCCGAATACGAGAGACTAATGCAGAGGGGCGAAAAGGTGCGCAGCGAGATGGTCACAGAGGACAGAAAGATGCTGGCGTTTAAAGGAAAGAGAGGGATGGGGGATGAGAGGGATAAGGAAGGGTGAGGGAGAAGAAAGAGAAAGATAGTTGGATAAAGAGAGATAGAGGGAGGAAGTTGAGAGAGTGAGAGAACAACGAGATGCGAGGGAAAGGGATGTAGAGTTAGTTAAGATGTAGAAGAGAGAGATGGATAATTAACAACAAGTCGAGAGGGAAAGAGAGAAATGGAGAGTTAGAAAAAGAAAAACAGGGAAGGGATTATAAAATGAAATAGATTATTATTTTTTTAAAGAGTTTAATAAATTTTAAATATTTGGGCCTATTCTCGGATATATACAACTACGCCAAAATATTATCATAAGTATAATAGCAATTCTCCGTGACATGTTTCCTCTTATATCACAACATAGAGATAACATAGCAAAATAAAATAAGTGCAACTAGAAATAGCTAATTTTTAACATACTCTTATTTTAGACATGTTATGTTGCCACGGAATACTACTAACATAAATCTGCTATGTTATCCGAAAATTGGCCCGTGAACGTTTGCCTAAACGTTGCAATTTCAATTTACTTTTTTTATTAATATTTATTAGACAATCGGCCGAGCCGTTTCTTTATGCAAACTTCGTCGTTCTAGCCAGAATTTCTGAGAATCGAGTCGATTACATTTTCGTAAAGATCGACGTGGCCGATTCTTTGTAATAATTGTTAAAAAAAATTCTTGAAGATGTTATTAAAGTTTTGCATAGTAATCAACACCTTGAAATTATGCATACAGAAAAAGTAGTTTAAATATTTAAATTAATTAAGTTTTGAATTAAAGACCACGCTCTTAGGACATACACCGTGTATGTCCTAAGCGAGTGTTCATAATCGAGGAAAAAATATATTTTTTCATTTATTTGTTTACCTTTATTTAAATTCTGTCATTTCATAAATTTAAAAAAATCAATAAGAGTGGACATATTTAAAACTATATTCAGTCACTACCAACATTAAATAATTCCCCCAGCAGTACCAACATAAAAAAAAACAAAATGTAACTATAATTTATATCTATGACGCTTGTTTTTCAAAAATTTTGTTGCTCAAAGAGTGTCTTATTATTATTGTGTGTGGTTGTTTTTATATTTTATTAAAGATTTATTATGCAAGGCGAATGTATATATGTATAAAAAACGTTTCGGCAATGTAACAATTGCCGTTATAGAAGAAATATTTAACCTGAGTTGAGAGGATGCACTCAGGTTAATAATAATGCACTTGTATTATTAATAAACATAAAAATATGTTAACAGTCGTAATTATATTTATTTTATCAAATGTCAATTGTAAAAATGTATATAAATTTGTTTTAAAATAAATAATGTGGTCGGAGTTTAATGGTCTTTTAATAATTAATGAAAATACAAAGTGAGATCAAATCAATTCAAATTCTGTAATTTTAATAGGAGTGACACATTAGTTAAAACTATCTTCACTTCAGACCCAATATTAGAGAATTCTCCCCATTCCACGAGTACCAACACAAAATAAATGTAACTATAATTATATCTATGACGCTTGTTTCAAAATTAAACAGAAATACAAATTAAGAATATATATATTTTGTTGTTATTTAATTTGCTTGTTAATAGAATCCACTTTTTATTT